GCTCCACAGCCTGGAGGTTCTCTTGCTCCAGAAGAGGATGGTGTTGGAGGGAGCCCCAGTCATGACTCACTCCTAGCTAATCCTTAGTAAACCTGTCACCATGGAAACTGCCAATCATCCATGCTTTTCATAGCTTAACTGAACATCTGCCAGGGGAAAACAAGTGGTACAAATCATTCATCCTGTCTACTGTGTTTACATCTGGGCCTCTGGTGAACAGAGAGAATCAGGGGAGGGCAACCCTCCACAGCAGGAAGATGGCCCAGCTTACTCACTAATTAGCTATGCGACCTTTATCAAGTCCTTCCTAAGCTGCTCTGTACCCCTCTCTCCCCAGTTGGTAAAACAAACTCAGATCAGTGATTCCCAACCTGGTTGGGCTGAGTTCAGGAGGAGGAAGGGACAGAAAAGACCCTAAGAGGGGTGGGCTAAAGAAGCCTATCCAGTTGATAGTCTATTCAACATTATAATTTTATATTTAGACTATTAAAAAATAATCATTTCATAACTTAAACTACAGAAAATAAATCCTGACTAACATTCTTAGGTAGTCATCATTCCCATAGTAAATGCAAAGACACCCCTCACTGGAGCAGAATTTCCAGAATCTGAGGTTTTGAGAATGATCATCAAGAAGGAATGTGGGTTTATAAGGCAGTATGATGAAGGAGCTGGGGTGTAGCTCAACAGTAGAATACTTGCCTAGCATGCATCAGGCCCTAGGTTCCACCCAAAGCCTGGCAAATAAAAAAAGCAGGAAGTTGAGAGTCCATGGACTAGCTGATCTCAGAGTTAATCCAGATCCATCTCTGGGCTGCTGAGTAGCATCCTTTAGCTGCAGGCCACTGTTAATTCCCACCTGGAAGAGCAAGTACTGCAGGGGAGGCTCACCACCCCCACCCCAGTTCAGACTAGGCATCCGCTCTCTTACCAGGACTTGGGCCTAGAGAGGCACAAACTGTGGACACATCAGGGTCGTGTTACTGAGACGGCCTCCTGGGGTATCCAAGGACACCCTGAGGCAATTCCCAAGGAGGTGCACAGACCGTGCCCCAGGACTAACTGCTAACCTGTATCTCAGCTAAGGGTCCTCCCTACCAAGAGTCTCCTGCACATGGGCTCCATTAGTATGTGGGAGGAGAGGGGCCAAAGAAGTGCTAGAAAGCATTTTCAGACATTAGCTTTATTCACTCCCTCTCTTTTCCTCCTTTCCTTTTCTAGAGGAAGCTGACCTATCTTTGATGACCCTGGAGAAATGTGCAGTAGCAAAGCAGTAGAACTGGCCTGCACACTGTTTTGACTTATTTCTCTACAGCCTTGGAGAAGAGATTTTAGAAGTAGAAAAAAAAAATATCAGGCAAATGGGGACAACATGGGGGACAAGACCAGGGACTAGCACATGGCTTGTTGGACTCAGTCAAATAAAATTATAGGATCCATTTTTCAAAAATGATGAAGAGTTTTAGCAACAGCAAAGCATGAAATCAAGTATGGGGTCCTTCTCTGCATGGGCCCAGTGAAAATGCATGGGTCATACCCCCATACAGCTGGCCCTGGCCAGGACTGTCCTCCATATTACAACTCTGGAGTTAGTGGCAGGAAAAAAGGCCTACCAGTTCTGGAACAGTGAGGACCTGGGACCCACTTCCTGGCAGCACTGGTGGGGCAAGACCCCAGAAAGGAAGGTCTGGAAAGTATGTAGACTCAAAGAATAGGATTCCCATGCTCTGTAGATTTCTAGTCCCAAAAAGTGGCTCAGAGGCAGCATAAGCCCTAAGGTCCTTCAGACAGGACAATGGAAGGGCCTGGTTCTATACACAGATGAAGAAGGGCCAGAGCCCCCTAATAGGCCTTGATATTGTGTCAGACCCTAAGACCTGGAACTTGTGCAGGCATGGCAGGGCCATAGAAAGCCATCATGAATGACTGATAGTACTTTTAAGTCATCCTGGCAGGAGGAAGGCTTAGAGTCAGAGATTCATTCTTTTCATTTTTAAAAAAATAAAAGAGATAGACTCCTTCTGGCAAATCTGGATTGGCAGATCAGGATTCTATTTATCACTACTGAACCCTAGTTCCAGGCTCAGTCCATGGTCAAGAGGGGTCAAACAGGGCCAGCAGAGTGGCTCAGGTGGTATAATTACCTGTCTAGCAAGCATGAAGCCCTGAGTTCAAACCCCAGTATCACCAACAACAACAAAAAGAAGGGCCAGGTAAGATATGTAGCTTGGATCAGGGTGGTCAAGAGGTAGAAAGAGTTCAGTGATATATGGGATAAAAAACTGACAGGACTTGCAGAGTATTGAGAAGAAAGGGAGGAATCATGAGAAAGTCCCCATGGCTGTCATGACAAATCAGCTGGGTGGAGATGCCATTCACTGAGGTCAGGAGCACAGGAAAAGAGCCACTTGGGGGCAGGTGGATTTGGTTTGGTCCTGAACCTGCTGTGTTCAAGATATCTGAGACAAGATGTCATATAGGCTACTGAATAAATGACAATAGACTTGAAGAAAAGTCTTAGCTAGAGGTGTAAATGTGAAAATCATCAGCTTTTTCATCACAAAACAATGGGATTGGAAGAGATTCAAAGGGAAATAGTAGAGAAAAAAGAGACTTGGAGTAATCTGAAGAACCCCACCATATAAGGACAGGCAGAAGAAGAGAATGGGCCCATACAGGCAGGTAAGAGTAGGAAGGAGGTGAGGAGGTTGCCATTCTGTGACAGGCAAAAGGAAGAAAAATCTAGATGTCAAATGAAGTGTGAAACGAAGAATGCCCACAGAATTTAGTAATGTGGAAGTCACTGATGACCTTGGAAAGAATGTCTTTGGGAAGACAGGCTTGGAAACCCAAAGGTGAGTGTGGAGCAGTTGAGCGGAAGATAGGAAAATGGAGAGAGGGATTCACCTTACATATGGCTAGAAAAGGGAGAGATGGGACTCAGAAAAAGTAATTAAAGTTGTTGTTTTCATTTTAATAAATGTATTGAAATATAACATTCAGTAAGCTGCATGTTTTAAGTGCAACAATCTGAAAAGCTCTGGCATGTGAGCATACCTGTGAGACTACCACCATAATCAGGAAAATACTTTCAATCCTGAAATTTCCTGCTACCCCTTAATAGTCCCTCCCTTCTCCCCCTCAGCCCCCTCAGGCATCTACTGATCTGCTTGCTGTTACAATAGCTTGCACTTTCTAGAATTTTATATAAATGGAGTTTCATGTACTTTTATTTTTTAAAGGTACTTTTTTTTGTCTGACCTCTTTCATTCAGCATAACTATTTTGAAACTCATACATAATCTGTTGTATGTAGGTATGAATAATTTGTTCCTTTTCATTGCTGAGTAGTTTCCTCTTGTATGATTATACAGTAGACCCTTGGTGTCCACAAGTATATGGCTCCAAGGAGACTGCCATTGAAAAACAGCCATGAATGCTCAGGCTTCATAGACTTCTGTACTGTACAGTGGATGCTTGATTCATTTTTCCCATAACGCTATTCACCTTCCACTAAAGACATGGTGCAGTTCAATAAATCTAAAATTTTCACTCTATCACTTAAATTAAGTACATTCACTTTTACATTGCTTTTTGGGTAGCATTTGCTTTTTGCAAAGTGGATTTTCACAAAATTAAGGGCAAGGAGACACTGAGCAGATTGCACAACCATTTCAACACAAATGATAACACAGGACTGAGATCTTCTCCACAACAACTGAACTGTATGATGCACACATGGGGGAAGTAATGATAACACAGGACTGAGATCTTCTCCACAACAACTGAACTGTATGATGCACACATGGGAAGTAAGAAGTGTTACTTTTAAATTTTCTTTCATTCTTTACTATTATTTTTTGACCATACTTGGTCAAAAATAAGTATGTGAGTAGGCAAACTTACTGTATTAGAAATTAAACTGCTTTGAACTTTCACATGTAAGTCTTTATAGGAACACATGCTTTCAGTTCTCTGCACTAGATAACCATGAGTGGGATAGCTGGATATATGTCTAATTTTTAGGAAACTACCAAACTGTTTTCTAAAGTGGTCACACCATTGACTGAGATCTTCTCCACAACAACTGAACTGTATGATGCCCAACTGGGAAGTAAGAAGTGTTACTTTTAAATTTTCTTTCATTCTTTACTATTATTTTGACCATCTTGGTCAAAATAAGTATGTGAGTAGCAAACTTACTGTATTTAGAAAATTAAACTGCTTTGAACTTTCACATGTAAGTCTTTATAGGAACACATGCTTTCAGTTCTCTGCACTAGATAACCATGAGTGGGATAGCTGGATATATGTCTAATTTTTAGGAAACTACCAAACTGTTTTCTAAAGTGGTCACACCATTTTGCATTCCCATCAGCCATATATGTAGTTCCAGTTTCTCCACATCCTTGTCAACACTTGTATGGACAATCTCACTTAGACATTCTAGTAGCTTCTCCTTCTGTTTCATCATATTTAGGAAGAGGATAATGAGTGGGGACATGACACACGTAGGAAGGCAGAGGGAGAAGGCACAGAACACAAGGAGATAACAGCAGCCACACTCCAGGTCAGCAGTACTCCCTGGCTCAAGAGTGACGTGCTTTTTGAGTCTGTGCCCTGGAGACAAGCCCAGTCCCTAGCAAATGTATTTCCTATGGGTCACCTGGAAACAGGTTAGCTTATTACCTTCCAGGTCAGGGACTTGAACATGAAGCAAGGGTCCTATAGGGACCTCAGCCTTGGAAGTCTCCTCTTTTGCCATTGTAGCCATTATAGTAGTCAAGTGGAGAACAGTAGAGTAAGGAGACTCACTCACTGCACTTGGACCCTAGTTTGGCCTACATCCAGCAAGAAAAGAAAAGACCGTTTCTCTGCCCTCTGGGAGAAGGTGCGATGGTAGGGGTAAGGGGAGGAGAGTTTCTAGGCCTCATTCCAGACATAAGAAGGGCAACTTGTCCTGCTGGGGAATCTAGTGAAAAAGAACTCAAATTATCATACCTGTAGCTGCTGGGAAGAAAACCCCGAACACAGTGGAAAAAGACTCCCCGGGGCTATAGTCTGGCAGAGCGTTGTTCTGTAGCAGTTCTGGTGAATATCCAATAAAGCCATGCTCTGAAATAATACAAAGGAGGGCAAAATGAGCCAAGCGATTAGATATGGCACCGACATCTCTACAGTACAGTACGACTTTATATCATTTTACGTATTAAGAGGTGAGGTGTGTGAGAGACAGACAGAAGGAGAAGAGAGTGGTAGAAGACAGAGCAGGTCTGAGGGTTGACTCTTGTGTATCCATATCTACAGATTTAGGGGGTGGAATGGCATGGACAACAGTGGTTATCTCTGGGAAGGAGAGACTTCATTTTTGGCTTTATAGACTTTAATTTAGCTGCAGTGTCTTTCAAGGAGCATATATTTATGTGATTGCTTTTCATTGAAAAAAATGAATTGCTATTTGCAATTAATTGGGACCCTGGTCAAAAATCTCCCATGGGTCCCTATGAGCTACAGAATAAAGTCCAAACTCCTTAGGACGAATATTAAAGTTCTCATCAGCCTGGCAACAGCCCCCCTACCCTCTCCATCTTTTGTCTTTTCTCCTCTGCTATAGTCCCTCTCCCCAGAGCACCACAAATTACCTGTCCTGTGCCTCCACTCAGGCCATGTTTCCAGAAGCTTCTCTCTGAGCATCAGTATTTGCTCACTCTTCCAGAGCAGCTCAGATATCGCTTTATAAGCTCCTCCTGACTAGGAACAATTCTCCTCCTTACGTTCTTGGTACTAAGACAGCCCACGTTAGGTCTGTCTCCAAGCACAGTCTTGAGGCAAGAAATCCAGTCTTACACATCTCTGTCCCCCAGAGTCCAGCTCTGTACTTGGTGCACAGTAAGTAAGTTGCAAACAGGTGTCACACTTTCTTTCAGATCGCTCAGCTTTTGGAACATCTCACTTCCATGCTTTCTATTAGACTGTTCACAGACTACTTTATAGCAAGAACATCTCAGATCTGAATTCTTCAAAGCATTTTTAAAATGTTTGTACATTGACCTTAACCAAGTTTTTCAAGTGACTTCAATCTTACAAGCACTTTGCTTCTTTGTTAAAGGAGGTCACTTTGAACAACATCTGTGGACATGCTAGTGGGCCATGGAATTTTAAAATATAAGTCAAGTGTTCTTGACTCAGGAACACCCAGGATATTCAGCTCTGCCCTTCCTTCTCATCTCTGAGAATGAGTTGGTTTGTTCCTATTAACTGTAGTCCAGGAGAAGTCTGGACTCAAGCCCCACAACCACATAGGATGGGAGTCCAGCCATCAGCCCACAATACCCAAAGAGCCATGGGGGACAAAACCTCCCGTGAGCCTCGTCCCATATCAGAGCTTCCCCCCACGCACAAGAGAGCTCCTGTGACAGGGATGAGTCCAATGAGGTCGCCACACTTCTTCCAGCTTCCAAGAGTCATAACTTCATGGCAAAAATATTTTTCAAAAAAACAATAAAAGCTCAGTGAAGCACAAGTGACCCTTGGGAATCCCGTCAGGACTTAAAATCATTGACAATTGCTTTCTTTTGCCTGAATACAGAATTTGTTCTGGCGTATTAAATCCCAAGTACCACACAACACTTTTGAATGGTTTGGCCTCTTTGCAGTTGGTTGTCCCTCATTAAACAAAAAAGCAATAACAGCTAACTTAACTTCAGCTTATCCGCTGGCTGACCCCACTCACTAGTCTTTCTGAGGAGAAAACCAGCTCAGCCTGCCTTGGAACTCAGCTCAGCCAGGCTGCATGACGTACAGTTCTGCAAGTACACTGAACGAGGACTTTGTGTGTTGGGCAGGCTAGCCTACAACACATAAACACTTCATCAGACACCACTCACCTCACCAGCCCCTAAGGCGGCCCTGACACAGGGGAGAATTTGGTCAGCCTGAACCTGAGGTCAGCCTGCAGGTTCAAAGGGATTTCAGGCCCAATGTGTCCCTGGGAAGCCTTTTCTCTACCTCTACTCTCCTCTCCGCCCCCAATTTCCACAGGCTGAGAGAATGGGTCTAGGAAGAGGCCTTTTCTGGCAGGGCCAATGAGAAGTGGAACTCTGACATGGCCACAAGCACACACTCATAGTGACTCACTCACAAGCACGTTCATACCTACACACAACTTACACGCACATATCACGCTCCCACTGGCCTGCCTCTCTGAACTGGATGCAAGTCCAGCTCCAAACCTGTCTCAAGGAAATCATCTTAGCTTGAAAAGAACTCTATGGACAAAGATATTTGTCAATATTTTACGTACAATAGTGCAAAATTAGAGAAGGGTCTAAATATCTCACACTGGGGACTGAGATATTTTAGAGTTTGCATGGAGATTTTTAGTGCCACAGAGAACAGTCCATGTTACATGTGAGCTATGTGAAACAAGAAACTGGATGCCAGTTTCAGTCTAAATACAAAAACGTTTAATTTATAAATGTAATAAAAGTTGAGAAACAAACAAAAATACTAACTGTGGTTGTTTGTGTAAATAATAATGGGCCTTTTTTTTTTTTTTACAACTATGTAGCCCAGATTGGCCTTGAACTCTCAGCCTTCCTACCTCTTGCCTTAGTCTTCCTGACTTTTGGGATTATACACATGTGCTACCATGCCAACAAATTCTTTTCTTTCTTTGTTTTATTTATACAAGATTTCAACATTTTAAAAATATGCATAATCTACTTCTCATTTAAAAACAGTATTTTTAGGAAAACAAACAAAATATCCCACAACTGAAAACCCACTGTGGGAGCATTTCCATGTATAAATATCTTCTTTTTGTTTTAATTTCCATTTGAACCTCTCTCCTTCCCAAAACTGATTTGAGTGGTTTATGAGGAAAACATAAGATAAGGTGAATAAAAAAACCAAAAACAAGGGAAACAGAGAGAGAGAGAAAGAGAGAGACAGACAGAGAGAGAGAGAGAGAGAGAGAACCGGTCCAAGCTCCATGACACATAGTCTGAGGTCTCTGAGTAAGGTGTTGAGGTGAGCAATGAGGTGATCTCCCTGAATTCAGGGCCTAGATTGCTGATTTTCATAACTGTTTTTGATGAAGCCCATTCAGGCAGGGCACAGGACCTGGTGGCCCTTCCCTTACATGGGTTACATGGGTTGATTCCCCAGGGATGAGAAGGAACTCCTGAGGCTGCCATCATTTCCTCAACCCTTATCTTCCCAGGCCTTTATGACTCCCCAGCCCCCACCTCAGGGTTCCCAGTACTGAGTGAGCTTGCTCCCCACCTACTGGTCCCCCAGACCCAGAGCTTAGGCTGAGTGTGTCCAATGAGGCATTGGTGCCTCTGATGGGCTGCTACTAGCTAGCTGAGGCACTATGTGAGGTCAGCAGGCTGTGCCATCTGTCATGCCCGCCTACAGTGGCTCCCAACGCCTCATTTGCTGATTCTTGGACCAAAACAAAGATTCCAAATTCTTAAGTCATGGCCCCATTTGAGGGTTTTCATACCATTTGGGGTCTCCCACATCTCTGAAGCTTCTCTGGGGGAATGAGCCCCAAGGTTCATTCAGCACTACTCCAGGGGTGATCTCTGCACCTGATACTGTCCTGCCAGGCCCTGTAGCCACCTACAACTCCCTGAGCTCTGACTTCTAACACACCCTACCTCAGCATGGACAGAGGGACACAGCCAGTAACACTGCCACTCTGCAGTCCTTGCCAACAGCAAGACTTCGCGTGCCTTGAAATTGTGCAAGATCTCCAAGGACATCGCAGGGCAACCTCATTTGAATACAGTGCTGAGCAGCCATTTACTAAGCAGCACCTCCCATGGGCCAGTTACAGTGCATCAAGTCCTTACTGCCCTCCCTGACCCTTACAGCCACCCGGCAGCTAAGACATCAGAAAACCAAGGCTCAGGAAGGTGAAGACTCGTCCAGACCTGCCTACATTTCACCCAATTCCTCTCTGTGGACAGAGGGCCAGCCCCCTCTCTCTCTAGGCCTCCCTCCCAGAGAGATGAATATGGCACAGATTCCCTTTCAGCCCAGGAAATGCAACCAGAGAGCAGTGTCTCCCTCTAGGGAGGGCGCTAGGGCCCTCCCTCATGGAATGCCACAGGCTCAGGAGTGTGTGACAAGCTGAGGCTTGTACAGGTAGGAGGACGCAAAGCCCCACCATACTGTTTCTTTGTACTTTATCCCAGAGAGTCTTTCTTGGTTTTGATTTTGTTTGGCAGTGCTTAGGTGGCAGCAAGTGCTCTACCCCTGACCTACATACATCCCCAGCTAATAACGTGTTTCTTGACCTCAAACTGTCTTTTTGCCTCAGTGGGCCTTTTGGTTCCTCTTCTGGAAAAACAGGGTCACTGGGCTGGGGTCCTGTCAGCTGATGTATTCCAACTCTGAAAAGCCCGGATGCCCAGGAACTGCAGCTGCTGCTTGTGAATGTATCCGGTCTTGACCTGAACATCTGCTTCTGTATCCATGGAATAAAAATACTCTGGTTCCCTTTGAGCTGTGTGCTTTTTGAAAGAAAAAGCACAGAACAGGGGGAGAGAGGGAGAGAGAACAAATCACCACAAGACCCAGGCAGGAACGGGCACAGGGGAAGTCCTTGAAGGTCTGTGTGCAGAAAAGTCTGAACTTCCCCTCTCGCCCCCACCGAGAATTGAGCCACTGGGCTCTTCTTCAGGGGCTACCATCAGCTGCCCAGGAGTGCTCGAGTGAGAACATCCCTTCATCCCACCCCACGTGACCACACAAATGCGGTCAGCTCTGGTCACAAGTGGGGACAAAGAGCAGCTTGGGCAGGGCTGTGTGGGGGCCATCCAGTTTCACAGACCCAACCACCCTGGCGAGGTAGCTGCTAAGAAACTCCCCATGGCACTTGTGGTGTCCCTGCCACCTCCTGTCACGGGGGGAGGGGGCTGTTGAAAATATGAGCCACAGTCAGGAAGTCATCAGCCCCCATTGTGGGTGTAGGGTTGCAACTGTTGACTAACTTAGAAAGCGAGATTTCTAAAAATGATGCTGGTGCTGGGGGCTGGTGTGGGCTGAGGCTTGGGGCAGGGCTTCCGGCACTGCTTGCTTTCTTTTAGGATCAGGTCCCCCAC